TCTTTCCTGCCTATGCAGGGGGTCGGACTCGATGATCTGTTGAGGTCCCTTCCGACCCTAGCATCTATGAATCTATGGATAAGGTTGGATGTATGACTGCAACTTATGTGGCAAACTAAAATACATCAGTATGTGTTTTAGTTTGCTACATAACAAACTCATTTATTTTGCAATATGCCGCTACACATGTACAGTGTGATATGATTAAATTGCTAAAAAAGATCAATTAAATTGCTAAAAATGGCAATTTTTGTCATGTGTACAAGCACCCAGTAATGGTAACACAAGCAGGTACTGCAGAAACAGGCTCTCCTTTACAGTCCCAGCCCTTGCACCACACCAGAGTTGGTGAGGACTGCTCATATTATCATCGTGGAACAGTTCCATGATGGCTTAACACATATTACTTAATACCATGTGAAGTTGTTCTTCCTATGAAAAGTATTAGCTTTGCTATGATACACATTTTACTGCTTGAACTTGTGGACCTTGGCATTTTAAGTGCAGTTAACTGTTAACATCTCTAAGTGAAACATGTAACAAGACCCTCAGGGCAACTTTTTCACTCCAAAAACTGAAGTTGCTGCAGTTTGTATTAGGAGGAAGAAGCTGCTCCAAATTTTATTTTAAATCAATATTTAGCTGACAAAAAGTGCTGATCAGGACTGGATTTTGTATCACTATCTATATGCTTAGGTAGCACAAGGAGTGGAACTGAAGGTGAATTTACATTTCATTTTTCAGTAAGCAGAGACAATAGGAGCCAAACCAAATTAGAATTTAAATAAATATTTGGGAATTAGAGAGGGAAGTATGCAAAAATATGATGCTAATGTAGATCAACATTTAAAAAAAGAAAAGAAATAAAATCTGAAGGCAAATTGGTAAGGGACTGATAGCTGAGAGAAGAAGAATATAGTCTGAAAACAGACTTCAGCATAGGGGAACTAACTCATACTACTGCCTTTGTGCACAATATAAGGCGATAATTTAAGACAAAATTTCCACTACAAGCAGAATTTGTGCCATATAGTAGGAGTGGAGGAGAAAAAAATCCTAAAACTGAGGGAATTTTTTTTTTTAATCCCTACCTGAGCAATAGGGACGGAAGTCAATAAAACAGGAATAGGTTTTAGACCAGCATGTGAAGACAAGAGAAAATGATTTAATCATCTCAGACACTTATAGACCGATATTTGATCATCAGAGAGAATGGCAGGCACATCTAAGGGGTTTTAAATCAGTGGTCCTTGATTAGGGGAACCAGATCAAAATCTGAGGGATTTTTCTTTTAATAGTTGATGACTGGAGATAAAATATCAACATCTAGGATGATTTTATATTGATCATATTAGTGGCTTCTTTGTCAGTGATTCACACAGATAAGAGGGAGCTCTGAGGCCATTGTAGGAAAGGAATAGAGGGGTGGAAACAGAATATGCTGCAAGGAGCAGTAGTTGGGAACTGGCAGGTAACTGCCAGAATGAAGAGCAGTTCAGCTGGGCAGCAGGGTATGGGATTTATTTGGGTATTGCTGGGCAGCCTGAACTCCTACCTGATAAAGGAGTAAAGCCTTTTAGCCTGGAGGCATACTTAATATTAAATACGGAGCTTGCCATAGGAACCATCCATGAAATGCAGGGAGATGGGAAGGCAGTTTAAGGAGTAATGGAAGAAGGGAAAGGGCCCCTACTATTCATTTGGGCTAGAAAAGCAGTAACACAAGACACTTTTTTTAATCAAAGGTTTACATAACTACTAGGAGTGTGCAAAGTGAGCCCTATTCATCTGGATTCGGCACAAATCAGGGACAGTAATTTGATTAGTTGATTTGGATCACTGTCCCAGATTCGATTCAGCTGAATCCGAATCTGAAGATTTGATGCTGATTTGGAGATTCGGACATAGACACAACTTTAAATGTTTTTTCTACGTACTTCGAGGTACCAGGCATGGCTCGTGAATGCTGTGATGCTGGGGCGGATGGAGTGTCCCACAGAAGCATGGAGGGAAGTGGACTGGAAGTGCTTCTGGTCCACTTCCAAGTCTGCTGCTGAGCGCTCTGGGGAGCCTCCTGTGCTTCTGTGGGACTCTCCATGCGCCCCAGCATTGCAGCGTTCACGAGCCACCTGCTACCTAGAGGTATGTAGAAAAAACATTTAAATCTGTGTCTATGTACAAATCTTTCCAAATCCTCTGATTCAAATTGGATTCAGAGATTTGGTCACTGAATCGGGCTGCATCTCCGCCAAATCGAATGAGGGACTGAAGCTTTGCACAGCCCTAATAACTATGCAATACAGCTACATTTTCCCATATGTCTCATTCCCAGTCCTTTTTTAACCCACTGCCAACCAAAGTGTGACATGGACTATACTGAAAAACAGCAGGCCAATTTATTATAGGACATATGAGCAAACCAGTTGGGGTTTTTATTTTAACTCTTTTTAGAACTAGAGATTATTTTCAGTTCTGAGGTTGTGCCCGCATGTGGCATTAGCAGCTGGGTATGTTGGTTATGTGCGCAGTTGAAGTAAGTTGGAATAGAAATGGTTGGACAATGCTTTCCATGCTCTCACAAAACATCAAGACTTTTCTTTGGGAGCCTGGCCTTTTTGTTTGGTTGGTTTTTTTCAGGAATGAAACCAAATTATTCTCCATAAAAGAAAAAAAAAGGTAAAACGAAACAAGAAAATGGACTGATAGCTGCTAAAAGACCCTGGGAGTATACGGCTGAGGACACAGCTAACAAAATGACATATGGAGCGTTACTTAATTACTAGAAGAAGCCAGGGCTTCAACTGTGGGGACAAACCATGTCAGCTGCAGCCTACGGCTGACACTTCACCCACTTGGTTTAATTCCTGTAACAAATAGCTTTAAGACAGTAACAATTCTCAGACATTACCAAGCTGGGTTGGACGTAATGAATTAATGGGAAATACCTATTTTCCCGTCCCCAACCCTACCAGTCTTGCGGACCTTCGACCAGTTTAGAATCCCCACCCCCAGCTAAAGGGGAAGCCTTGTTATGCCAGTCCAATGTCATTTTTTCTGGCCTATGTAATCTGCATCCAGAACAACTTTCCTAGAGTTCTCCTAAGGGCCCCATGCACATCCTTGTTCCTCAGTGTGTAGATCAAAGGGTTCAGCATTGGGGTGATGATGCCATAGAAGAGGGAGAACATTTTGCCCTGGTTCTGGGAGTGGTGGGATGGGGGTTGCAGGTACATGTAAATGGCCGTGCTATAGAAGAGTGAGACCACGGTGAGGTGGGAGGTGCAGGTGCTGAAAGCCTTGCGTCTTCCCTCAGCTGAGTGGATCCTTAGCACTGTAGCAGCAATGTAGCCGTAGGAGACCAGGATAAGGCCCAGGGGCCCTGGCAACAAGAATGAAGCACCAGCAATGAGCCCAGCCTCATTGATGGAGGTCTCAGCACATGACAGACTGATCATAGCTGGGACCTCACAGAAGAAGTTGTTGATCTGTTTTTGTCCACAGAATGGCAACCGCAAAGTCAGGATAGTCTGCACAGTAGAATTGGTGATGCCGCTCAGCCAGGAGCCAGCCACCATAAGCCAGCAGAGGCGATGGCTCATGATGGTCATATAGCGCAGGGGCTGACAGATGGCTGCATAGCGATCATAGGCCATGACTGCCAACAAGATGCACTCTGTGGACCCCAGGGACAGGAAGATGAAGAGCTGGGCCATGCAGCCAGCCCAGGAGATGGACTTGTGGGTGCTACGGAAGTTCACCAGCATCTGAGGCACCGTGGTGGTGGTGTAGCAGAGGTCTAGGAGAGAGAGGTTGCTGAGGAAGAAGTACATGGGTGTGTGGAGATGGGGGTCCAGCTGTGAGACCACAATGATGGCCAGATTCCAGAACAATGTCAGGACGTAGGAGATTAGAAAGAACACAAAAAATAGCATCTCCAGGTATGGCTTGTCAGAAAGGCCCAGTAGGATGAACTCTCCCTGGGAGCTTCCATTTCCTCTTTCATTCTGCTGGGAGAAATGACAAAGACATGGATGAAAGGAGAAGCCACACAAAGGAGAGGAAAGAATTACAGCGCAGCTTCCTTACTCAGAATGAATCCTTCTCCCTTGTGATTTTGTATAGAAAATCAGGGCTAGGTGGTGAGAAGAATAGTTAAAGACCTGAAGGGTCATCTGTGGTGCTGGATGGGAAAGTGGGATTCACATGGCAGGAAAAAAAAAACCTGACCATTTAAAGTAAATCAGATGCCTATACCAAGAATTGGATTTGCCATAGACTTATGGATACTTAGGCTCTGCTTTCTTTGCAACAGGGTTCTTTATTTGTTGTGCTTGTACAGCTCTTAGCAAGATGAGGCTGTGGTTCAGAGCTGAGGCTTCTAAGCATTATTACAGTGACAATAATAATAAATATTATATATAATTACAATGATGATGACAACAACAATAATAACAACAGGTGAACAATATGAAATACCCAAGCTGTCAGAGTTACTTAGGCACTGCAGGTTCTAATTCCTATGTACACTCTGGCACATCACATTTCTGAGCTGGATGCCCAAGCTCCTGATACAATGCATATAGAGGATTAAATGCTGAAGATCCTTTATTATTACTAGGGGTGTGCAAATCAGGCCCTATTCAATTCGGATTTGACCCAAATCAGGGACAGTGATTTGATTAGTTGATTTGGATCACTGTCCCTCATTCGATTCAGCTGAATCTAAATCTGAAGATTCGATGCTGGTTCGGAGAATCAGCGATTTGGACTTAGACACAGCTTTAAATGTTTTTTCTATATACCTTGAGGTAGCAGGCATGGCTCATTATCGCTATGGTGCTGGGGCACATGGAGCATCCCAGAGGAATGCGGGGACCCTCCATGTGCTTGGTGGTAGACCCAGAAGTAGACTGGAAGTACTTTCAGTCCATTTTGGGGTCTGCCACGGAGCGCACTGGGGGGACTCCCCCTCCCCCCATCTCAGTGATCAGCCTCAGGGGGACCCTGGGTGACCTCCCCAGACCCAGGAGGCACCAGTTGCTGAGCTGGGAGGGTGCGGGGGGGCGGGGCATGCGCTCCCCGGTGGACCCAGAAGTGAACTAGAAGTGCTTCTGGTCCACTTCTGGGTCTGCTGCCAAGCACGCTGGGGAGCCTTCCCACGCTTCTGTGGGACACTCCATGCACCCCAGCATCACAGCATTCAAGAGCCCCTGCTACCTAGAGGTATGTAGAAAAAACATTTAAAGCTGTGTCTATGTCTGAATCTCCAAATCTTTCTGAATCTCCGATTTGATTCAGAGAGGTTAGAGGGTCCTCTGATTTTATTCAGTTTTGGAGATTCGGCCACTAAATTGGGCTGAATCTCTGCCGAATCGAATCAGCAATTGAAGCTTTGCACAGCCCTAATAATTACCTCCTCCTTTCTTCAGGATCCAGAGCCAGGAATTTTCCCCTGCTGTTAGGCACTTAAGCCAGGTCACTTACAAAGGTATCCAAGGCCTGGCCTGATCCATGAAAGATCTCTTATTTGTTCTTGTAGGAGCTGTACCACATTTATATTCCAAAATACACACTTATTTCCAAAAGCAAACTATGACCTTAATTCTGAGCCTTTAAGGGATTAAATGATTTTCATACCTCTGAGCATTTACAAATAATTCATAACTTAGTTGGGGATGGTCTAGTTGGGGACCATCCTGCTTTGAGTCGGGGGTTGGACTAGATGACCTCCTGAGGTCTCTTCCAACCCTCATTTTCTATGATAACTAATTACTGTTTTCTTATTTGTAACTTTTTAGCAGTCATAGAAACATTGTGTGTCATTAAGAACACATTACTGTACCATGGACCTCCAATTCCCTTCCCAAGTAAGAATTGACCACTATAATAATTGACTTTTGCTTATCCTACTACTCTCATAAAGTGATGATTCCCACATCAGTTAAAAACATTTTCACATCTCTTTATTCCATGTGTTAGGGGGGAAGCCAGCCCTACCAACAGCATTGGTATTGGCCATCTGGGGGGCACTAGCCCCATCGAGGTGGCACATGCACCCCCGTGCACACCTTACCTGTCGCCTGTGTCTGGAGGTAGTAGTTTAAGACTAAATTTTCAGAATTTTGACTATTTATCAGCCATGCAGGATGCAAGTGGATTCTGCTATCTGCTAGCTCTATAATTCTGCACCTAAAAATATTATGCAAACTCACAATTCTTGAGTGGTTTTCTTTTCAGGAGCCTGTATCCTGCAAAACCCTTGACCAAATGACACCAACTTTGCAGACCTAACTGTATCTCATCTTCACAACAAGTGTCAAGGTAAGCTGTCTATCTGTGCCCATCTTAGATAACATTTAAATACTGGTTTTTATGGCTTATCTATAATTGGGTGGCTGGAAAATTTGAATTTTGTGAAGAATGGAGAAGTACACAGCAATGTAACAGTTGCATTGGTATAATTTGATATGCATATAAACTACTATAATGTATTTTGTGGATCTGGATGCTTCTGTAGCAATAGAAGTATAACAACAAATTACACATTAAACTCATTTTTATTCTGGGTTAAAGATACAACATTCCTGGTTAAAGATACAACTTGTATCACTACAAGAACAGGCAGATGTAACAGATCATAAAGGTTAATATATGCTCCCCAGTGATGGATGTATTCATGGGCTTAAGTTAAGCCAGGTAAAACCTTTGTATGATCAGGAACTAATGTGGGGCTGTAGATTCTCACAGTGCTTTCCAAACACAGGTTCCCTTCCTACAGTTACAGTCTTCCTATGCATAAAGGTATCCCCAAATAGTTTTTTTCTGGACCAGGAAGCTGACCTAGGTGCATATCTGTCCCCTGTCCTTCCTGTAGGTGTGTGAGCTCAATATGTATTTATCCTCTCAGAACTGCTGGGAAGTAAGGGAATGCCATTATCCCTATTTTAAAAAGCTAAGAAAGTGAACAACCTAGCAAGCTTCCAAACTCTGCGGAGCAATAACTATTGTTATTATGAACAAATGGTTAGAAGTAAAGCTTCTGGACTCACCTCCATTCTCCTCTGCCCAAATTCCTCCCACCTGACAGCTTCCTGATGGTTCTGATGCTCCGGTTCCAGTGCAGAATCTGTACTGTGGTGCCTGCTGTCTGTACTGACACCTCAAGTCTCTGTAGGGTCCTGGGACAAGGCACTCCTGGGTGGTCAAGCTCTATTTCTAAGGGTCCTTATGGAGGTCAGAGAGATCAGCTAGTTCTGACCCCTTCCTGTGTAGCAGCACCGTCTGTGCCTGACTTTGGGATGCTACCTCACCTGCTGCTGTGCTCCAGGATAATCTTGCTGGGTGGCGGATGGTGCAGCTGTGGTAGACACTTGGAGCTAGCACCCTATAATTATGGGAACCCTGGCCCTAGCAGCCAAGGCTTCTCAGTGTGTGAGTGAGGGAGAGAGCTAGATGTGGTGGTTGGAAAAACAGAGACTGCATGGATGGACCTTTGTATGAACAGATGGATGGATGGATTGCTATTACCCCTTACAGCTGATGATCCCTGCTCTTTTTCCTGGTTCCCCTTCTGCTTTTGTGTCCCTCTTCTGACTGAGCCAGGTTTGTCTTCCACCTGGGTAGGCTTAGCTCTGAAATCCAGCTGAAATAATCCACATATCTGTGAGTGCAGGAGGCTCTTCCTCGCATCCCAGCATCTCTGCCCCCAATTCCAAAGGGCTGTGTGGGGAGTGAAACAAGTTTTTATGGATATTAGAGCAGGAGGGGTATGTTGTTTCAGCATTGCCTCCCCGTGGGGGCTGGGAGCTCACCTGGGAGCTGATAGCACTGTCCTTCCCCATGAACAAGACAGAGACTCGAATGATGACACTGACTCAGGCAACAAACAGGCATTGGATTTGTCCCAGGAGAAACTTGAAAAGGTGGAGGATAAGAAGTGGTAATAGTTTATCCTGGGATATCACAAAAAACAACTGAACAGTTTTCCAGGGGCACAAACCCAGGAAAAGCAGCTTGGTTGGTCCTCTAGGCATCCCACAATGCACTGCTTTAACCCCATTTCTGGTCCCTCTTGAATTTTGTGTAGCTGTTTTGGCCCTGATGGCAGAACTCTACTGCCCAGAGGTAACCTGCCCAATGTGATTACCCCCATCTATTAATTACCCTGCATGGAAGCTTACCCATTTCATGCTCACCACCTGCCCAAGATCAAATTTAGTCTGAATTTGCCAGCACCACCAGCCGCCAAGGACTGCCATCTCTCCATCCATTCACCGATCAAGGAGATCCTCAGAACCATCCATCTACCACCCACCAAAGCAAGTTTAGATTTCCATACCACCATGTACCCATTCATTCTTCCTCTACCATGGCCCCACAATCCACTTCTGGCACCATGGACAAGCATGGCACCAAATGGATTGGGAAAGAGGTAATTGATCTCGTTGCATCTGGGGTGAGATTGAGAACCTGCTCAGGTCAAGCCACAAAAGCAAGGTGTTGTATGAACAGATCACAAAGAAAATGGTGGCCTGGGATATGATGGTGACTAAGTCCATTGTTGGTCCAAGTGCAAGATAACTGAGGCAGTGGTTCATGAGGACACAGGATAACAACTGTATGTCGAGAGCCAGCAGGGTCATATGCACCTTCAGTGAGGAAATGTCCCACATCTTTCAGGTCAACAACTTTCCTGGGTCCCTAGGGAGCAGAGGGGAGAGTGAATTTACCATGCTGAGAGTCAGCAGCATGACTAAGCCTGTCTGTTGGCTAGATGGCTTTGCAAGTTGCAACTTCAGTTGAGGAGTTCTTTGTTATATCAGGGTGGCAGCCAACAGAACAATGAAATCCTGTTCCTTGCAATCTACTTTCAGGCCTGACACTTGCAAATGGTGGTGGCAGCACTGCAGGACCAGATTATCCCCATGGATGCTCTCTGAGTCTGGTGCCCAGAAGGCTTCCAAGCCAAGGAAGGCCAGTGCCTGCTCAAAGATTGACATGTTGGCTTCTCTGGTGGAGGGCAGCCATTCCTGGGTTGTGGAGATCAGGCAGTGGAGGGAGGAAGAGTAGCTGCACCACTGCCAGTACTTGGCAATAGTACGGTACAACATCAAAGAGTCCTGGCACACTGCCACATGGATTGCTGGGTAGCATGCAGGAGCCCAGCAAGCGCCATGCGGCCATTGCAGAGCGGGCCAGTGAGATGCTCAGTGACTCCATGAAGATGGGACAACAGTTCAGGTATCACCTCCTGTCTGCCTTGAGCCTGAAGACAGAGGGCATCCTTGCTGCTATTTGCATCACCCTATGATATAATGGACTGGCAGGACCATCCATTGGCCCATGGGGACACATGCTGCCATCAAGCTTCACCTTCCTACAGAGGGGCCCTGCAGCAGGAGTGTGAATAAGCACCCACAGCCATCAGGCAAGTGGACGTTGCTGCCTGAAAGGTTATCTGGCAATGGCTTCCGGCACCTGAGGATGTGCTACTTATGCAAGCTAAGGCCACACCAGGCCCATGGTATACTCGCATCCACAGAGGAATAATGAATTTCACCTCTGTACAGCTTGGTTACACTTTCTGTATTTTTTTACTTGTTTTTTTTTTTTTAACTGATTCCATATATCTCTGTTTTCCACAATCCCATTGTGCTGTGTAATAAAAGCCATCCCTGTTGCCTGAAGTACTGTCATGGTGTTCACCACATGTGCAGAGCCCAAGGATTCAGAGGAATTAAAGCTTGCCAGGAAAAACATCTGCTGAACGTGCTGCTTGCCTGTCCCAGGATCATCTGTCCCTCCCTCCTCTCCCAATCACCCTGGAGCTTGTTCCTGCATCTCAGAGCTGACCAAAGCAACAGGGCATGGAGGAATCATGCTCAGCTCAAGGTGGTTCTTTTTCACTGCCTCCCTCCTGCCCCTCTTTCCCCATCCCTTCAAATGTCTCAGGAGCTCACTTTAGCATCTCAGAGCTGACCAAAACAATGGGTGTTCTTTCCTTCTTCATCCCTAGGACCTGAGCTCAGCACATGGCAGGCACCCTCACTTCCACAGGGCTCCTTCACTGTCAACTCACATTGACACAAGCACTCTCCATCTACCACTCCTCCCCCCTCGTATGCCTGCCCTGTACATTCCCTCCTCTCCTGCCCCCCTACCCCCAGTGCAGATGAACACACAAGAGCACAAGTTCAGGTAAGAGTGTTTAATCATGTACAGGAAGCAGTTTGTTAAAACACACTCAAGAGATCCGTTCAGGAGATCTAAGGAAGAGGACCATATAATTCACTGCAGAACAAAGCAAGAATCCCCTACAGTCCATGACAATTTGACCATGGGGTAAAATTCTTCCCTGATCCCAGATGCGGTAATTGGTCTGACCCAGAGTGAAGGAGAAAGATCCTCTAACCAGGAGCCTCTGGGTTTTTTAAGTCTTAACAAGTGCATCAGTACAGGTCAGTCAAAATCCCCAGTTGTGGAGTAATGCTTCTGGGGAAGGTGAACACCCCCCCCCACCCCTTGATATCGATAGCAACAGGAGAAGAAAAAAATATTTCCTGGCCCCAAGTGGTGACCAGCAAAGCTCAGAAACATGGGACAACCAGATACCCTCCATTCTACAGCACGACTCAAGCACCTCACAGCCTGTCACAGGGACTCCTGGGCTTTCAACTGTTACTCTTGGCAGCACACTCAAGCATTGCACCAGTCGCTCATGTTAACCAATGTTTTCTTGAAAACTTCCAATGAAGGAGATTCCACAACTTCCCTAGGCAGCCTACTCCACTGCCTTACTTCTAACAGTGACGAAGTTCTTCCTGGTATCCAATATAAACACACTACACTACAATTTCAAGTTATTATGTGTCCTACTCTCTGCAAAAAAGGGAGAAAAATTGTCCTCCCTCTTCTTTATGGTAGATTTTCAGATATTTGAAGACTGCTACCATGTTCCCCTCTTAATCACCTTTTCTGCAAGCTAAACCTGCTTAGTTCTCTCAGCCTCTCCACATATGGCTTGTTTTCCAAGCACTTTATCATTTTTGTGACTTGCCTTTGGACTATCTATAACTTCTCCACATTCCTTTCAAAATGCCATGCCCAGAACTGCATAGAGTACTCTAGTGAGGCCTAACCCATGCCAGGCAAAGTGGTGCTGTCAGGTCAGTAAAAATGTTTTTGTGCCTGATCCAGAAGTTATTCAAAGTGAATCCAGAGGGAAAATAAGTCTAACGCACGAGAGACATAGCATGATAACAAGGAATAAATATTTTCATGGTGCTCTCCAAGGTTACTGATTCTTCCATCACTCACCCCTGTGTATATCGGAAGCGAACCCTTTGGTGTAACATTGCCAGATTTATTTTTTTCATTAACTATGGTTTAATGAAGAGTAACTCCAATGGACTGACCAGATTTCTTTCTCATTCACCCCTGTGTAAATCAGGAGTAATGGCTCTAGGATTCATTCTCCTCTCTTGCTCCCTTCCCTCAGCAGAGACTCCAAGTGATTCCATTCTAAATTCCCAGCTCAGCCTTATGTAAACCAGAAGTGTTCAAACTTCAGCTTCAGAAGTCTAGGAAAGAAGAATGGAAAGTCAACACCAACATAGTTTTAGCCCTGTCCTGCCTTGGGCTTAGAAATATGTTGTGAAGATTATGTGTATCCCCTTCAGTCATATGGGTGCAATGTTCTTGGATCATGGAAAAGGCTTAACAGAATAATTTTTGTGATCTGGAGGGTGGTAGGCCTCGGGTAAGAGCAGGCCTGAGCCACTCTTCGAGCACCCTCTGCCTTCTGTGTGTCATCAAGGAGAAGAGGTGAATGCTTTATCGTGATTGTCCATCTGCCATATTCTTGTACTAAATTCCATAGGTTGTGATAACAGCAACATATGGGGGTTATCTTGTCAACATGCCACGGGATCTGTAAGACAAAAGATAAGTAAAAGAATAGTGTTACAGAGGAGTCTGCAGATGAGAGTGAAGAAGATAAAAAGATAAATGAAGGGTCCTCTGATGCGGCAATCCCAGAGTTGTTTTCAGGGGAGCAGGTCCTGTGCCTGAGCAGCTGCCTCCTACCAGAGGAGTCGGTAGCTCTGTTCTAAGGGATTCCGGTGACTGGTTCCCTGAATGTTCTTTACTCTCTGCAAGGGCACTGTTTTATGAGGTGGGCTATAGGTAGGGACCTACCTAACTTGCGGCAAGAGAATGCAATTGCCACAGCTTGCTCACAGTCCAAACAGCCAATTTTGGGGTAATTTTGTTGTGGCCCCACCCCTCAGTACTCATTGATGGAGAGGCCCCAGGGGGAGGAGGGACAAGGGGGTGGTCACCATCTTGACTGCTGGCTGTCCTTCATGTGGTCCTCCCCCTCAATGCTGATTGGTGGAGAGGCATGAGAGGGCAGCTGCCATACTAGCTGCTGCCCTTCATGCCATCCTACCAGCTAGTGCCTTCCCCTACTGGGTGGGCTGAAAGGATGGGCTGTGGCAGCAAAAAGGGCAGATGACTTCCACTGGGGAGTTAGCACTTTATTTTCATTAAGTTTTTGTTGTTGTTGTTGATTTCTAGGGCTGTGCAAAACAGCACCATTTCGTTTCGACTTTGGTTTCACCATTTCAATGGGACAGTGTTTCATTTTGAGTTTTGTTGCATTTCGAAAGCACTGTTCCATTTCGTTTTGTTGACATTGTTTTGACATTTCGCCTATAGGCTATAATGGGGAATCATGAAACTACCATAACTTTCTCATTTCTTCCTGATTCAAATGACAACACCAGGGAGGGTAGCCCCTGCAGAGGCCACAAAGCCTGTCAAGTTTCAAGGAGATAGGTGCAGGGGTTTCTGGGAAACTGCACCTCAAGCTGCTGACCAGCAAAACTCATGACATGTGTGATTTTGTGAGTGTGTGTTAAGGTGCGCCCTCACTGGTGCTGGGGCCTCTACACAACATAGTAGTGTGACCCAATGAGGCCGCCTCCTCCTCTACAGCCTCATCCTGGTCCATCACATTAAAGAACAACAGGTAATAACTTGGTGAGCAGCACAGTAGCACCAGCAGCATCTCAGGCAGCCAAACTGTCACAGACTAGAGCCTTTCTTTCCTTTTCTGCAGGAGCTTCTTCTCCAGCAGCTGCCAGAGAACTCTCCTTGCCGGCCCCAGCTGTGGGACTTAGATGTGCCCAGGGCCCTGCATCTTTCTGGCCAGCTGACTGGGGACAGGTGCTAGGGGTGTTGGTCTAAGGACATGGCACTGGCAGACAAGGTTCTTTGGGTCAATCTAATCTGGTGTCTTGTAGTAGACCAACTGAATAGTTACAGAAATATGTCTTAGCAAGGTTTTTGGGTTGAAAAACCCTCTGTCAGGCTGAGGAAGCACCTACAGTTGGTGTGTGTGCTGTTCCTGGATGGAAGGAATAGTAAAGAAGCCAGAGGCTGGCCTGGCATGCAGTGCAGGCAAGAAAGTCTCCATTTCCACCAACTGGCATCAGGGGGTGAGGGACAGGCTGGGCAGGGGGTGGGGGTGGGGAAGTGGGATGTAGCAGCGCAGGTAAAAGTGCAGAGGTACCTGGGGAATCAGATGTCCGGCAGGTTGCAGTGTTTCAGAACTCCAATGTCTATGTTATTGAGTACATGAGTTTCTCTACCTAGGAGGTTGATGAAGTGCAGTTCATAGTCGTACTTCTCCACTTCTACCTGCTACATTCCCCCTTTCCCCCCACCCCAGCCTATCCCTCACCCCTGATGCCTCAAGCATCAGGTATGTGGAGTTCCATTGAGTCTCCACATCCTGCATAATTTTGTGCTGTGCGATGCTCAGCTCTGCCTGTTTGTCCCGCAGCATCTTGCCCGTCTTGATGCTCTGCTGGAAGTAGCCCGCCACATTCCTGCATTTGAAAATGAGCTTGCTGGTGGTGCTGCCACTGTCACCAGCAGCCCTGTCCCCCTCCAAGGTGTCCCTAACAATGAGGTGGAACTTGTGTGCCACACAGCGGATACCAACAAAGTTGGCATCACAGACCACCTTGACCATATTGGCCCAATTGTCAGCAATTATGATGAACCCGCGGGTGAGCTCACCCTGCCCAACAAGCCACCCCTGCACCAAGCGATTCATGGCCACCATGATCTTTGTTGCCATGTGGGACTCATCCATCACCTCAGCTTGAAGAAGAACCCACTGACAGCCTGACTGGTCACACCAGTGCCATGTGATGGAGAGGTAGGCATGATCTCCACCCCAGCTGCTCCAGATGTCCACGGTGAAGTGTAAGCCCACCTGTGGACCTGCCTTGCACAGCTTCTCCCTCAAGTTCCCTGCTGAAGATGGTGTTTGTGGGCATGCAGTATGATGGGGCCACGAGCACCATGAGCCGCTTGAACCCTGGCTGCTCAACTAACAAGAAGGGCTGGCCATCTAAAGCAAACATCTCCCCAATGCTCTGGGTGACCTCATTTGCCTTGGAAACAAGCCCCTCTTTGTCCCTGCCTTTCCCCCACTGTTCCAAGGTGGTCTGCCTCAGCTTCTGGGGAATGGGGGCCTTGGAGGGAGAGGGGGACTTCCCTTTGGGCATGCTCCCACTGGTGCCAGGCTGTGGAGGAGCAAGGGTAAGGGGGTGGTGCCTACGGAGGTACATCAGCATCC